GGATGTGGGCTCTCGCACATACTGGCATCGGATTAAAGCAGCGCTGGACAGCTAGATAGTGTACATCTTGATTGCCGCAAACGAATCAACTTTTTCCTAACATGACCACGAAGTCTGCAATGTGATGAAAGTTGAAGATGTAGAGACATACAGGCAAGCTTAAGGAGAGTTCCCAGCCCGCGCATAGGAGTACTGCTGTAGAAACGAGGGCACACCCATGTGCGCGGATCCGCACTGCGGATTCCGCAGCACAATGATGAGCATAATCGGGGTTAAAACAACGCAACGCCGCCCTGCTGGAGATGAAGTGTACCCGAAGAGAGACTATGGAGCAGCCCGCTCTTGGAGCCCCACTGCCTGAGGCAGGGGAAGTTAGCAGTGCTGATGATCAGAACAGTAGAAGCGAAAGTAAGGATACCTAGCTGGATGGCTGGGTCGTATGTAGCGCTAGTAAATAACAATAAAATATCAGGATGTGTTTTCTGGGCACTTTATTGGGTAGACAGCGTGGGTAGGGTAAGGGCACCCTACCAGTGGGTTTTTTTAAGTAATATATTCCTTATAAGGAATAAAGAGGCCATTTTGGCCTTTGGAAATACGGAATGAATTGAGGCCGATCCGTACATTTTCATTCCTCCAGCCAAAAACGTCCATTGCTGCCAGATTGCTCCGTAGTGTGCAGAACTTAGTATTATCGATCATAGAATAAATATGAGGGGCCGTAAGAAGGTCAAGCCCGTGAGTCAACGCGGCATAGCAGAATGTATGACCGGTCCTCACATAGCCAAACATGCAAAAGGCAACGACTCGAACGTCGAACAAACACCAAAACAGCAAGATAAACCTGAACATTTTCCCGATAAAGGCGTTTGGGACGGTGGTGCTGTTGTCGGTAATGCATCGGCAATGGTGGTGCTGCCAGCGGCGACCGATGACACGGGCACCATTACCCCTGCCTTCCATGGCGGGTGTGATCAGCCTAAGCGCAAGCTGTCACCCAATCAGCTCGACAACAACGACAGCGAATGCGGTGCGGCCGGCGATGCATTCCAGGGGCCCAACCCGAGCGCTCGCAGTGCCAAGCGGGCTCAGACACAGCGCATCCGCAAGGGCCAGAGCGACGGTGCATGGCGGGACAAGCAGAAAGAGAACCCCTACAGATGGCAGATTGCCTGGGCCGCCAGGCCCAGCCTATACATGCTGACGTGGACGCCGGAGAAGTGCACGACCAAGTGCGCTGCATGGTTTGCAGTGGCGGGTGACGGCCTGTGATTTGCTATGCGTTTGCTTGCTTTGGGCCTTTGCTTTGGTCGGATTTACTTATTGCCCACAAGCAGTGCCAGAACTATCTATGCATGTGCATGAAGAGTGCGCACATGAACGAAAACGCGCCAACTCAGTGTGTGCCTCTTGGTCTATGAGGGGAGTTGTAACTTATCGGGGGGGGTCTGGGGGGGGTGTAGCCCCCCCCCAGCGCCCCACACTTACGGTATAAATAACGGCGACCCTAGCAACTTTGTTACTTAGGTCGGAATAAATTGAGACCCGCCCTAAATGAAAAAAAATCACTGCACAAAACCCTAAACCCCTGCCCTGTAGCAGCCGGTACACAGTACGGTGCTAGAAATACGTGCAGAGCGCGACCGCCAGCAACTCGAGAGACCTTTTCAGCGGTCAGCTGCTACATTTGGTATCGAGACCTCGTGAAAAATCACGATCCTGAAGTCGTCGGTTCAACCCCCACCGATCACGTTCGAGTGGTATTTCGGGTGAGGCGACTCAGTGAGCGAATATCGCACAAAAACTATAAAAGTAGCTGAACCGACTGGATTGTCTCTGTGCCTGAAAAACCTGAAGGCTAGGCGCATGAAGGGCGGCATGACGCGACGTGGGCTTGGCCACCCCACTGCCCGAGGGTAGGCGAAGGTAGGCACAGGCTGGCGGTATACGAGGCTCTAAGGGCCCGGGACGGTTCCCTTCAAAGGGGGGGGAATGTAGCAGCCGGTACACAGTACGGTGCTAGAAATACGCGCAGAGCGCGACCGCCAGCAACTCGAGAGACCTTTTCAGCGGTCAGCTGCTACATGCCCCTACCCCTACCCCTGCCATACCCAGGGGGTTACCCACAAATACTATGCTACATGTAGTGTAAAAATTGGTACAAGGAAGACCCTCCCTGCAGCAGTCCCTCTTGGCTTCATGTATGACCGTGGACGGAAGTCTTAGCTGCTGTGATGCATGGTTAAGACTGGGACAGCTGCATTCCTGGCTGAACTGGTCTGCTGGTTGGAAGCGTATCTATATGCGAAAAAGACTGATCTCAGAAGTCGTACATCGTTCTGACGTTGCCGGTCTATTTGCGGATGTTTTCTGGGCCTTGCTTGTATGCCAAGCTCAAATAAATGGGATTATTAACAAACATTCTCTGGAACTTCCAGCAGCATGTGTTTTTTACGCCACCAATTATAGTAGTGCTTAAGGACGGAAGCATATTACAAATCACAGTGCGGGCTCCCCACACTTGTAGTAGCCGTTCCTTACTTTAGGCGTTTGAGAGGTGGTGTTTAGGCGCGCAGGCGGTCGAGGAATGAAGTTCGTCCAGAAAGAACAGTGAAGCAGAAGAAGCACATGTTGAAACGGGTTATCAGAGTTGGAAGACATACAGAGGAACGGTAATGGCAGGGTCTTAAAACCCAAACACTGGTATAGTGGTACTTGAATGTCTGGCCAAAGCACCTCACCAGGGTACATTATATGCGGCAAACCTACCGCTATCCCCATTCCTGGAGTCGTGATCTGATATTATGATTGTACCGTCACGATATGATACCGTAACGGACAGCATTTCGTACAATTCGCGAGCGCGGTTCGTAATTTCTAAACCGCGCCGCTACTGTGATTAAGCTTCGAATACCTACTTATATTCCGAGGTAAACTTAGCTTACTACAGCACCGGCGCCCTTTCGTTCTAACCAATCCCTAACAGCGGCAGTTTACGACCGTACAGGTAGTCATGCACTTCCCATCCCCACCGAAGCACGGCATTTTCACACGTTGCTCGCCCTTGCTGCTGTGCGTCCAGATCAGGAGCCTTTCTGGCATCGTTATATGTCAGCTCGCAGTTCGGCAGGTGCACTGGAGCGTAGGCATAAAGGCGAAAAAAGTTTGGCAACCTCCCAGAGGGGTGAGCCGCCTCTGAATTTCCGTATGTAAATATTACAAAAAACAATATTTGCGGCTGCTTTGCAGGCATATTGCTTACTTTTCGGTTGTGCAACACCACACAAATCAATGAGCAAGGCAGAGGCTAAAACTATGGGTCTAAGTTTTACGCAGCAAGTTTGGGCAGGGCCGGCCCAAAATAATGTGTTGTGTTACGGCTACAGAAAATGCAGCGATCACCTTATGAACACATCAGCCGGCCGGTGCATTTCCTGTAGCCGTCACACGACAACTGATATAGAGACCGGTAATCCGGTCTCGACCCGGATTCGAATCAGGTCTGGTGCGGCTCTGAGCGTGAGGTGACGGGCCCTACACGGCCGCCACTGAGACTACGTAGAGGACACCCTCAGCTAAACGGGGTATGATGTTGAATCCTGGTCGTCTTAGGGGATTCTGAAATCAGCCGATCGGTGCATTTTCTGTAGTCTTGATACAACACTACGGTATGCGCTTTGGTGGCGGGCCAAGTAAGAGCCAGCAGCTATAGCTATAGGACAGTGTGGAATTACGCTGGAAGCTTTAGTTACGAAGCAGGCAAGTGTACTTCAAGCAAAGGGCCCATCACTGAGCTTGGCGTACCCTTGCGGGCCTTGTGCTAGGTTGCTTTTAAGAAGTGTAAAGGGTCGTTTTTGGTATGAGTCCGTCTTGATGTCTTTCTATCTGGACTTGCTTCAAGCAATGCAAGCTTAAATCTGTGACACGAAGTTTGTCCTGCATACAGCAGTCGCAGAGGACTTCGTCTCAGCTAATAGCAAACAGCTGGTAGCCCATATAATAGGTAGGGCATGAAATGGATATTCCGATGCTATGCGCTTTTAAGTACGCATTCTCATCAGCCAGCCAGCCATCTTATTAATAAATGGTCTTGGAGGCGTGTATGCAGGACCCCGCCAGCAAAACTGACACTATTACTGATCATTAATACAACTTTCTGTTCACCCTGCTTGCGAAATCAGGTCGGCATTGGCGCTCCGGAGGAAGGGCGCCCCACCACTACCTCCCCGGGTAGCAACTGTGCGCTATTCACACAGGCAGCAGGTTAGTGCTTGGGCGGGGACATGAACAGTTTTGGTCATGAAAAGATGAATGTATATGACCGCATAAGGTCTGGATAAATTGTTCGGCCACATTTTCCAACCAAAACGAACGGTATAGAGGCCCGCCGCATCAAACTTTGCGGTCAACACGCGATCAAACTTTGCCGATATCGCCATCACGCACTAGCTTCATTAAGTCAACGAAACCTTCATATTTTCAATGTGTACATGAATGCCGCAGCAGTGTGTCGATGAACCATCCTGTATTTCTGTGACGGTGTCGTCCATCGTTGGGCTCGCACGGTCATTTGAACGGTCCATCTAGCAGAACTACGGTCTAGCTGGCAAGAACATTTCAATAAGCATAATCGCCATTGAGTTAAAATCTATTTATTTATATGAGATGAATAATCCGGCGGCAAAATCGTCCCTACTTTCGTAGAGTTTGCCCGTACTATGACTTATACAGTAATAAATTACCGCCACCGTACCTTAAACTCGCTCACAAAAGTCGTTGAATTGTCCGATGTTTCAGCTTAAAGTTACTAGAGATACTGCTACCTATACGGGAGCTAATCTATTTGGGCGGATCGGTATTACTTGGTCGGTCATCAAGCCGTACGCGAAGAGGCAGATACGTATGGAAATTGAGTAAGAAGTTATAAATAAATAGTCAAGAAACTAAGCGTTGAGTTGTCAATACATTGCTTTCACAAGCTGTACCTTGTTTGTATAAAACTGTAGGTTTTCTGAGAGTAACGAAAGAAAACCAAGGTTTTCTGTGTATTTGCCGAGAGCGTACTCGGCAGTTCGTTGGTGGTACGGCGGGGCCGTACTGGTGAGAAAGTAGGGCAAGTCGCGGAGAGCGCGACGGAAAGAGCAATTTCGCGAGTTAATTTAGTCAGTACTGACAGGTTTCCACTGCGTCGTCTGCCAATTACACCGCCCCGAGGCAGATAACGCAGTCGGTAACCATGTTCCCGTTCCTCGGTTTAGAGGTCGCCCTAGTGGCAATGTTCGCGGGCATCGTTATGATGCCAGCTAAACGTAGAGTCGGTGACCAAGTGGTAGAGCTACAGAAGGTGCTTGCAGACTTACACGCGCAGTTGACCGCAATAGAACAAGCCGACGACTATCAGAAGGCCGCCTCCATGCTGGCCTCTGACCCTCTAGCACGTTTAAACAAGAAAAAATTTTCTACCGCGATGGGCCACGCTTGGGATACCTACGTCGCATTGAAGAGTCAAATGGCGAGTGTCAGCGCGCACATTGCTCAACTGGAGATGACCATGGAGCAGCCAGCTATGAAGGTTCTCGTCTCCGACAAGTCTGGTCGCGTCATGGAGCGCCCATTGAAGGACCTGGACTACGTCAACGATGGCTGGGTCAACAAGTCGGGCAAGGAGCACAAGGCGCTCAAGCGGGAGAACCGGGAGCTGAACCAAATCTACCATGCCCTTCAGAAGGTCAACCGCAACCTGGAGGACGAACGCGAGGCGCGCCGCGATGAGGCCCCACCGGAGCAGATTGAGGAGTTGGAGAAGGCAACTAACGACGCCATCACCGAGGGTGAGAACTTGCTCACGGACCTAAACACGCGGCTGCGCAAGGCGATGTTGGTGGGTTGGGAAACCGTTGAGTCGTTGGACCTCCCTGACTGCTGCAAGTCCGAGGAGGAGCGTAGCAAGTTGTTGTCCGCGCACAAGCGTGTTGTTGCTGAGAAGGAGTGTGAGCGCAGGGGTAACAAGCCCTCGGTGCAGAAGCCGTTCGGTGCGGGTTTCCGTCAGCGCCAGTTCGTGGCGCCCTCGCCCGGCTTCGGCCAGGCCCAGGTCGGGTTCGGGTCCGTGCAGGGCGCAATGCTACCGCACCAGGCGCTGCCCTTCACACCGGGGCTGCAGTTTGGGGGCATGGCCCCGATGAGTCAGGGCGGCGGCAAGCCGCCGCGGGCCCCGAAGCCGACGGATCAGTGCCATAGGTGCAAGCAGTTTGGGCATTTTGCGAACATGTGCTCGAACCCACCCGCGCCACGGTGATGGCGGTGGGCCAGCAGTGCGGTTTGTGCGCGTCGGGGCGCGTGAGTGAGAGTGATTGCGGCCCCGTCGGGGGGTAGGACCTGACTGGCATGTAGCCACAACTTGAGTGTGAACGCCCCGGAGTGGCGTAGCCCTTCGGCGGGCTGGTTGCAGGCCCGCGCGCCGCTGCTATGTGCTATGACGTCCCGGAGAGACGTAGACCCCCTCGAGGAGGGAGTGTCGGACTTTGCCCGGCTCACGGCCGGTTGCCCTTGGTAACATGCGTCAGAT